CCTGGCACGGTTGGCGTTGGGCGCGCGTGGAACACGTGGCGTATCTCGCACACCAGGCGCGCTTGGCACGCTGGGGTCTATGGGGTACCTTGCGCACCTGGCGCGCGCGGCGCATGTGGCACGCGCCGCGCGACTCGCGGGCGTCGTGCACCTGGCTGGCGTCGGCATTGGATCTCGATGGTTGTCGATGGCGGCCCCTGTCTATGTTGAGAACTGGGCGGTACGCATGTACTGGCAGGAAAGACAGGACAGGTAGGAGTGAGCGAGACAGCTTGCGGCGTTCCCGCTGGGAACTTGCCCCCTCCCCCAATGTCACCCCTCCCCTGGCGGCGCGACAAAGTTTTCACAACGCGCTGGGGCGTCAAATTTGGACCCATGGTGGCTCCATAGAACCCACAAAGGCAAAACGTTAACCAGCGCTGGCCCCAAACCGTGTCCCCAGCAGCCGACGCTGTGCAATCTTGCTCGAGCAGGCTGTTTGGTGCAACTCGCCCTGCCGAACCTGAAAGCGTCAACTCCACTGCTCGCGCAACCGTCACGCCCGCCCAGCCGCAGCTTGCTTCGCAAAACCCACGCGGCGGCGACTGCGATGACTGCATGGCGCTGGGTGGCGCAGTGCTGCGGCCGCGCCGTCGCGCGCAGGCCTGCGCGCAGAGCGGCCAGCTCCTCTGCCGCGCCCGACGCGGCCGCGGCGGCGCTGACGGCTGGGGACGTCCCGGCGCGTCTCGCAGGCCGCGCTGAAGCGCGAGCAGTTCGGTGCGAGTGGGTGGCTCGGGCGGGCGTGGTGCCACGGTGACTTCAATAACTGGCCATCGCTCGGACGTCCATGCTCTGTGCTTTTCTCGGTTTCGTGCGTGGCTTTTTCGCCAAATGATCAAGGATGCTCCTCGATGGTCCTCGCCGAAGGAGAAATGCACACGTCCGAGCGATGCCAAGACAACGGCAGACACGATGATGACTGTAGCGATGCTGGTGACGACGATGACGGCGACGGCAAAGACGATGACGGGCGCCGATGCCGATCACGCCGGCGGTGTGTACGTGTCGGCGGTGAAATCTGTGAAAAAGATTTCGACGCTCGCACGCGACCGACGCGCGCGAGTGGTCCGCGCGGTGTTCCTGCCTCCCCCCCTCGGCACGCGCGCAGGGGCATTCGAATGATCTCGACGTGCGCGCGCGAGAGGCTCGCTTGGCCGAGTTGGATGAGCACATGTTGAAAACAAGCTCGGATTTTCTTACACATTCGCGGGAGCGCGACGGCAAACTTTTTTGTTCACAATCCATGTTGCAAAACCATGTGGCTATTATATTTCATCGGGACACTCGAATATGAAATCCGTGCGAAACCTGGAGTTTGAACAATTCCGGCATGCGCGCGCGACGACGCGCGCGTGCACACAGTCTTATTCCCCCCGCAACGGATTATTGAAACTTATGTTTTTGGGGCGCGCGCGTAAAACATTTTTGGGCGAAGTGGGATGGCATGAATTCGTAATTTCCGACGAACGATGGGACAGAAACGCATGTAAATTGCACACCCACAAGCCGATCGGATAAAAACGGCGGGGGGGGCGGCTGTAGATCCGAATTCTCTTCTAGAGCGGAAAAGCGCAGGCACATCACATCGGCGCGAGTCGGTGACGCGAGGGTGCGCAGTGTCATGGTGACGTCGACAACGGCGGAAACGATGATGATTGCAACGATGTCGGTGACGAGAAGGACGGAATAGGACGATGCCGACGGCAAGGCCAATGACGGCGCCGATGCTGGTCACGCCGATGACGATGATGGCATCCACATATCGGCGATGAAACGATGAGGATTTTGGACGGACTCCGACATCCGCGCGCGACCGACGCGCGCGGGTGGCCCGCATGGTCCGATTTGAAAACGATCGCGCCCGTAACCCCGTGACCCCCCCCAGCAAGCGCGCAAGGGCGTTCGAATGATTTCGACACGCGCGCGCGAAAGGGGCCCGCTTGGTCGCATCCGAATATGATTGAAAAACCGATGGTCGTCACGCGAATTCCCACGAACGCGCGCGCATATGTTTTAACACTACGTTGCAAAACTGCTCTTTATGTTCTCGGGAACCTCGATCTTGAACTCCTCGCGAAACTGAGGCTTTCCGAAGAATGTACGAATGCGCGGGCGACGACGCTCACGCGTCGACTTCGCCATAGCCTTCATAAAGAGACTTTTGAACACTGATGACTTCTAACAAACGAATGTGCAAATGCGCGCGCATAATATTACTTGTCAGGGATGATGGCGGAAGGAACCAGGGGGGTCGGAAGGGGGGGTCGATGCCGGCTGGGTTGGGATGGTATCACGCATACATACTTAAGATGAACGTTTTGGTGCAATCACACGAACACTGTACTGCCCCAAGGGGTAGCGATAAACCTTGGGTGTGAGGGGGGGAGGGGGGGGTCCTTGTCTTTAAAAACAAAGAAGAATCTGCGTGGTGCGATTAATTTTGAAAAAACATAGAACTGTCAACCCCGCTGCTCGCGCCACTATCCCACCCGCCCGCCCGCAACTTGGTCAGCGAAACCACTGCGGCGGCGATTGCGATGAATCCTTGGCGCTGGCTGGTGCATCTCTGCGGCCGCGCTGGCCCGCGCATGCTCACGCGCGCGGCGGCCAGCCAGTTTGGCGCGACCGATGCGGTCGTGGTGGCGCTGACCGATGGGCAGCCAGGAGGGTAGAGTCTACATTTCTGGAAGCAGGGAAATGTATGGGGAGCCAGAGAATGGATTCATATACGTGATGCAGCGTATGTGGTGCAACAGTTCGGGGGCAATCGATGTGGCACCGTCTGATGGGTGCACCACATGTGCGGCGTAATCTGTGGGGTGCGATCGGCGTCCTGGGCTCTGTGCCAGGAGGCGACGAGGCGGCCACGAGCGCCCGCCTGCCGAAACCCTTGGGGAACCCGCCCCGCGCGTGAGGCGCCGACGAGGCGGCCACGAAGCGGGCAGCGGGCGAAAGCCCGGATAACCGCACGCGGTGGCGACGAGGCGGCGAAGGACGGGCACCGGGCGAAAAAATCCAGAGGGGCCAGCCAGCGCAAGAATAGGCCACATCACGGGTGAATCATAAATATAAAGCCCAAGAGCTGTCAGAACCGACGACGTGGACTCACCAGGATAAAATGCAGGGCGGGGTCGCAAAACTGACGGAAACACCTCCCTCACCACTAAAAAAGAGGGCCACGAAAAACTGACGACCGCCCCCTGGGGAACTGCGAGGTTTTCGCAGCGAAGAGGAGGGGTTGGGCATTCTGACGACGGCGCGGCCGCCCGACCCGTTAGTCCCCTCTGCTGACAATAAACCGACGACGGCGCGGCCAGAAAACCCCAAAGTCGCTTTCTGTTGGAGTCGCGCCAGTGATGGATGCGGCCGCGAGGCGGCGGCGGGCAGACACCGGGCGACAGCCTGGAACCGCAGGGCCCGCTCGCGCGGCGGCGACGAGCGGACGTCGAGCGAAGCCCCGGCATCGCAAGCCAACGACTTGGCAACCAAAGCAAGACCTCCCTGGTGCAAGCATGACCTGGGGAATATACGTGCAGAGGCATCAATTTACAAAGTTTCAGAAGCCATCGTGAGCCTACACTGTAAGCTCGAAACCAAATCACCACTACCTGTTCTTCAAAGTTACCATTAACGTGGATCCACATGCATGTTCCCTGGAATCCTGCTGAGGCGTCGCTCAAGCTGCTCAGCTAGAACTCGACCTCCAGCCTTCTGTCCCATCATGGCGCATCGTGCCGCTCAAGCAAAGGCAACCGTTCGACGCACCAGTAAACCTCATAGCGCGTCCAGAAGCCGAAGGTTCAAGTAAATGTTGGACAAACATGGAGCAGACCAATACTAAAGCTAAATCTGATGATCGACAGAATCAACAGCGAAAGCAAGTTCCATTAATCATGGAGCGATCATGAACGTATCAACCCCGCGACTCCAACGAAGGATCCATGGGGCCCATCCGAAAGGAAGAACTTCTGGGGCGCGCCCAGGAACCCAGAGGGTCCAGTTTCCGCGGAGGAAAGAAAAAATCCCTGGCGAGGGGTTCGAGCGCGGGGGGTACCCCCGCCTCAAATTCCGGAGGAGGAATGAATTCTCAGCCGCGGAGGTGCCCGCGCGAGGGGTCCCCCCCCCCCCAGCGCAACCAGAGGAGGAAAAGCGTGAGAGCCCAGATTGCAAGTGCAATGCAGCGACACTCTAATAGTGGTTGCGCCAGGGAGTTGTGCTAGCAGTAAGGAGTTAGTTGCACCGGGGAGTTTAACTGGGAGTTGTACTCGGGAGTTGCACAGAGAGTTGCACTAATGGAATTGCACTAGGGGGTTGCACTGGGGAGTTGTAGTAGGGAGATGCACTAGGGAGTTGTACTAGGGACTTGTACTAGCGAGTTGTACTAGCACTTGTGAATTGCATCAAAGAGTTGTACTGGTACTATTTGTGCTAGAGAATTGTACCAGGGAGTTGTGAATTGTACCAGGGAGTTGTACTAGGACGTTGTACCAAGGAGTTGTACTAGAAATACGGATTTGTACTAGGGCGCACAGTTGTACCAGATGTAATATGATACCAGTTGCACTTTAATACTTGCACGGGAGGACGCTGTGCTCTCTAGGAGCAACTGCGCGCTATTCCATTATAGTACCAGTTGTACTCAAGTGCTAGTTGTACGGTGCTCAGAGGGGTCAAGGGGTTCCAATGGCAACTCGTGCGCGGAAGAAGGATTAAAAATCCATGCGCCGCCAGAGGTCCCGGGTTTAACGGGTCGCTGCGAAGGTTGACCCCCCGCGGAAAGAAGAAAAGAAATCCGGCCAGGGGGTTGGGGGGTTCAGGCATGAGTCGCGGGGCTGATATGAACGTGCAGACGAAGTGGCAACCACGCGGGCCACGGCCGAGATTCTTCCTCATCCTCAGACTCCTAGACAGCCAAGGACCAATCTCCATCGTATTGATCTGGCATCGAAGAAGCCCTGGGCCTCCCCAAGCTCGATGCTCTTCTGCTTATCCTCGCCGTTGTCCTTGCACCAACAATCCAACATCTTGAAGACCTGCCGACCGCTGGAACCCCAACCGGCTCAACCCATGTACGACGCACGGGGAACGTAGAGGAAAGACACTCTGATCGGCGGGGATCTGCCCAGTGGAGGGCAGGAAACGTGGGAGGCTCGACGAAGAAAGTGCCTCGGGCGGGCCATGCGACACATGCTTCAAATGCGCTGCGGCCGCCCGAGAGCGATCATACCTCAGGGACCAAATACTCATTCGAGTAGGGAGAGGGGGAGCGGCAGTGGGGGAGGGAGGGGAGGTTAAGAGAGGGAGGGGGGAAGGGAGGAAAGGATGGCGATGAAGGGCTGGGAACCAATGGATGGAGGTCCCGCCTTACGCCCAACTGATGCCAAGTCATAGTATGACGCTGCAGTCGGTATCGAACTACACTCTCTCCATGTTTTGCCGCACTCAGGGGGCACAGCACCCGCTGCTGCATACAGAAGGGGGCAGCGAGGTGACGAATGAGCCTTATACGCACGACCCATGGCCAATGCGAGGCGTCGCAACTGGCGTCGAGCAGCGCCCAGCCAACGCGCGTGCAATGCCCAAGCTGTGGGGTCTACGCAAGACAAACCACCCTTAGTGTTCTTGCTTTCCTCTTCCTCCTTCTCTTCCTCCTCCTCCTCCTCCTCCTCCTCCTCCTCCTCCTCCTCCTCCTTCCTCCCCCTCGTCCCCCCTCCTCCTCCTCCTCTCCTCCTCCCTCCTCCTCCTCCTCCTCCTCTCCTCCTTCTTCTCTCTTCTCCTCTCCTCTTCCTCTTCCCTTCTCTCTTCCTTCTTCTGCTCCTCCTCTTCCTCCTTCTCCTCCTCGTCCTCCTCCTCCCCCCGTCTTCCCTCTCCTCATCCTCCCCTAGTGTTCTTGATTTCCTCTTCCTCTACCTCCTCCTCCTCCTCTCCTCCTCCTCCTCCTCCTCCTCCTCCTCCTCCTCCCCCTCGTCCCCCCTCCTCCTCCTCCTCCTCCTCTTCTTCCTCTTCTTCCTCTTCCTCTTCCTCTTCATTCCTTTATCCTCTTCCTCTTCCTTCTTCTGCTCCTCCTCTTCCTCCTTCTCTTCCTCGTCCTCCTCCTCCTCACCCGTCTTCCCTCTCCTCATCCTCCCCCTCCTCCTCGCGCCCCTCCTCCTGCCCCCTTCTGCCCCCCCCGTCCGTCCTCCCCCATTCCCTCATCCCCCATCCTACTCTTGGCGCCCACGCGGGCAACCTAGACAAGGAACGCCTGCAAGCTGGAATGCAGCGGATGGGGGGGGGGGAAACGAACGTCGTCCTCCTCGTCGCCGTCGGAGTCGTCCTCGGCGCCGTCGCCGTCGAGGTCGAAGGACGCCCACCAAACGACGGGTGAAGGAGGAGGGCGAGGAGGAGGAGGAAGAGGGGGAGTAAGAGGAGGAGGAAGAGGGGGAGGAGGAGGAGGAGGAGGAGGAGGAGGAGGAGGAGGAGGAGGAGGAGGAGGAGATGGAGGAGGAAGAGGGGGAGGAGGAGGAGGAGGAGGAGGAGGAGGAGGAGGAGGAGGAGGAGGAGGAGGAGGAAGATGAGGAGTACGAGGAGAGGGAGGAGGAGGAGGAGGAGGAGGAGGAGGAGGAGGACCAGTGATCACCCGGGTGACTCCAACCTAAGACCCATGGAGGCCCAACCGGAAAGAACAAAAAAAATAGGGCGCGCCGAAGAACCCAGGGGGTCCGGTTTCCGCGGAGGAAAGAAAAAAACCCTGGCGATGGGGTTCGAGCACGGGGGTTACCCCCCCCTCAAATTCCGGAAGAGGAATGAACTCCCAGCCGCGGGGGTGCCCGCGCGAGGGGTCCCACCCCCCCAAGCGCAACCAGAGGAAGAAAAGCGTGAGAGCCGAGACTGTAAGTGCAATGCAACAACACCTTAATCGCGGTTGCACTAGGGATTTGTATTAGTACGGGAACAACTGAATTACAGCCGGTGAGGTTTGGGTTCGGGTTCGGGCTTATATATTGGGAACCCAGTATATTGGAAACGCAATATATTGGAAACTCAATATATTGGAAACCCACTATATTGGAAACCCAATATATTCGAAACCCAATATATTAGAAACCCGATATATTGGAAACCCAAAATATTGGGAACCCAATATATTAGGAACCCAATACATTGGAAACCCAATATATTGGAAACCTAATACATTGGAAACCCAATATATTTGAAACCCATTATATTGGAAACCCAGTATATTGGAAACCCAATATATTGGAAACCCAGTATATTGGAAACCCAATATATTGGAAACCCAACATATTGGAAACCCCATATCTTGGAAACCCAATATATTGGAAACCGAATATATTGGAAACTCAAGAAATTAGAAACCCAATATATAGGAAACCGACACAGCTGAAACTCAGTATATTGGAAACCCAGTATATTGGGAACTTAATATTGGAAACCCAATATATTGAAACCCAATATACTCAGGATTCTTCCAACAACTCAACGTTAAATAAAGAACAAAGCTTTGTTTTCATAATAAATTAATACATTTACAAGGAAAGGCCGAGCTCCTTTTCGAGAGTGTTCCCTCATTGTTCTTTTCGTTTTGACAGAGATCCCTCCGGCTGCCGAGACGTAAAGAACAAGTGATCGCGGCGCGCAACAAAAAAAACAAAACAAACCTCTGGTAACACCGCCCAAAGAAAGAATGGTGGTCTGTTCATGTCTTTTCATATATAAAAAAAAAAAAAAAAAAAAAAAAAAAAAAAAAAAAAAAAAAAAAAAAAAAAAAAAAAAAAAAAAAAAAAAAAAAACTTCACGCGCGATCGGGGACAACAGAAACAATGAGAGGGAGAAAACAAAAGGAGAAATACAAAAACACCCGACACGAAAAAAACATCTGGCCAACTTTGGATCTGTACCGATCGCAGCGAATTGGGAGGGCTCGCGTGAGAAACTGCGCCTTCACGTGACCACTACGGCCGGAACAGGGCCACAAGAACATCGGATAAGAACATGAGATTCTCCGCGGGCCAAAGTACCCCAAACCATAAGGACGTCAAGGACGCCCTTCCGAGGTGTCCCCGACCTTCACTTCCGAGCCAACGTGCGTAAGTACGCATCTGGTTCAGCCCCCAGCCTAAAGCCTTCGACTGCACAGCCTGGACCACGCAACCCCGAAGCCCTGACCCCCCCCCCGCCCCCCGAGACCCACGCTGTGTTCCTGTGCCCTGGATCTGCCTCCGCGCGTCCGTCGTCATCCACGAGCGCGCGGTTGCTGGAGGCAGCACGTTGACATCGAGACCGAAGAACATGGAGGGTCTTGCCCGCGCCGCGGACGCGCGAGGCCTGCGACCAGCTTAGTCGGGCTCTAGCAGTGGGCCTCAGCGCCACGTCTCACGCCCTGGCACTCATGCACGCGCGCGAGCTCTCGCCCCAACCCCGCGGCGCCCCAGGGAGCCTCGCGCGACCTCGCCTGCTCGCCCCAGACTCAAGGCCGCGGCCGCGCGGCCTGGCCCCCGCCACCCTAGGCCCAGCTCCAGGCTGCTGTTGCCCCAAAACAAGAACATGCGAGGGTGTGCGTATCCGCGCCGCCGTCATCCACGAGCGCGCGGCTGCTGGAGGCGACGCATTGACACCAAGACCGAAGAACATGGAGGGTCCTGCCCACGCCGCGGACGCGCGAGGCCTGCGGCCTCGGACTCTGAGCCTTAGCAGTGGGCCTCAGCGCCGCGTCGCACGCCCTGGCACTCATGCGCGCACCCGCCCAAGCTCTCGCCCTCGACCTCATGCCCCAGCGAGCCGCGCGCGACCTGGCCTGCCAGCCCCAGACTCAAGGCCGCGGCCGCGCGGCCTGGCCCCGCCACCTGAGGCCCAGCAGCTCCAGGCCGCTGTCCCCGAAAAAACAAGAACATGCGAGGGTGTGCGTCTCCGCGCCGCCATCGCCCACGAGCGCGCGGTTGCTGGAGCCAGCGCCTTGACACCGAAACCGAAGAACATTCGAGACCCAAGAACATGGAGGGCCCTGCCCGCGCCGCGGGTGCGCGAGGCCTGCGACCCACTCCGTCGGGCCTTAGCAGTGGGCCCCAGCGCTACGTCGCACGCCGTGGCATTCATGCATGAGCCCAGGATCCCGCCGAAGCCCCTGCGCGAGGGAGCCGCGCGCGACCTCGCACGACCGCCCGGGGCGCCAGGCCGCGGCCGCGCGCCCTGCCCCTGCAACCCTCGGCCCCCCGCCTCCAGGCGGCTGCCCCCCAAGGACAGGCGAGGGCGCAAGTCTCCGCGCCGCCATCATCGACGAGCGCGTGGTTTGTGGAAGCAGCACCCAGACATGGTGACCGAAGAACGCGGAGGGGCCCGCCCGCACCGTGGACGCGCAGCCTCAGCTAAGCCGAACCCGCGAACGAGCACAGCCTAAGCTCCAGCAAATCCTTGAGCCACAATCTGGCCCAGCCCAGGCCTCAGCCTCAGCTCGCGCCCAAGCCTCACGCTAAGCCTCATCCCAGCCTGAGACCCATCCTATACATCACCCCAGCCAAATCGGCCTCAGCCCGAGCCCCAGCCTCCGCTTAGCGCAATAAGAAGTCTAGCCCAAGCCACGGCCTGTGTCTAAGCCGCAGCCTTGGTCAGCCCAGCCTGAGCCTCAGCCTGGCCGAAGCCCAGCCGAAGTCCAGCCTAAGCTGCACATAGCTTCAGCTTCAGCCTGAACCCAAGCCTCAGCCCAGCCCAAGCGTCACCCAAAGACTGGTTTGAGCCCGTCCCAAGTATAGGCAACAGCCTCAGCATAAGCCTCAACGCCTGCCCTGCTCAGCCTAAGCCCAAGCCTGGGCATCAGCCTAAGCCCAGACTAATAAGCACAGGCTGAGGCATAGCCCCCTCGGCCTCAGACTGGCCCCAGCCGCAGCCTAAGCGTTGCCCGGCCTCAGCCCAAGCCTCGCCCTCAGCCTAGCCCAAGCCCCAGCGCCAGCCTGGCATGAGCCGCGGCCGTAGCCCTAAGCCAAGCCCCAGCCTAAACGTTAGCCTCAGCCCAGCCGAAGCATAGCCTCGGCCAAGCCTAAGCGGTGCCCAAGCCGAGGTCCCAGACACTGCCCACGCCTCTGCTCGAGCCTCAGCCCAAATACGTAAGCCTAAGCTTCGGCATGACCCAAGCCGCGGCCCAAGCGCCAGCCTAATCCTAGTTTGGGCCTCAACTCGCCTAAATCAAAACGTAAGCCTGGGCTTCAAACCAGCCTAGCATGTGCCCCAGCCTAAGTCTAGCAACGTTCACGCCCACAGCCCCGGCCTCGGCCTCGGCCTGAGGCTAAGCCAAGCACTAGCCACGCCTAAGCTTAAGCCCCAGCGTCCGCGTCAACCTAAGCCGATGATCCAGCCTTGTTAGCCCATGTTAACTTGGAAATCAAACTGCCCACTTCCAAGGGCTCCCTTTGAATTCCCCAGCCAACGCGGCAACTGTCCTATTGCTGGCGCTGCGGCGTTTCTCGCGCGCGCGCGCCGCCGCGCGCGCGGCGGCGCAGGAACGCGCGAGAAGTTTTGCGCGCGCTGTTGCAGAAGACATGCACCAGAAACCATGTTAACTTGGAAATCCAAGTGGCAACCGCTAAGGGTTCACTTTGATTTTCCAGGCCAACATGGCGACTCTTCTATTGCCGATAACGCGAAGCTCCGCACGCGCACACGCCGCCGCGCGCGCGGCGGCGCAGGCGCGCGCGAGGAGTGTTTATCTGCGCTGTTGTAGAACACATGCGCCAAAAGCCATGTTAACTTCGAAATCCAATCGGCAACCACCAAGGGTTCACTTTGATTTCCCAGGCCAACATGGCAACTTTTCTATTGCTGATAACGCGGTGCGCCCCACGCGCACGCGCCGCCGCGCGCGCGAGGGGTTGTTGCACACGCCGTTGCAAGACACGTACACCAGAACCAATGTTGACTTGGAAATCCTATCGGCAACCGCTAGTGGTCCACTTTGATTCTCCAGGCCAACATGGCGCTTCTTCTACTGCTGAAAACACTGAGCGCCCCACGCCCCTGCGCCGCCGCGCGCGCGGCGGCGGCGACGAGGGGGGCACTCGAAGGCCAGAAAGCCTGGGTGCTTCAGGGGTCGGGGGGTGCACCACGACGAAGGCGGCGGCGGCGGCGACGACGACGGCGGCGGCGGCGAAAGGGTCGTAGTAATAGTATCAATAATAGTAATAGTAACAATACTAGTAGTAGTAGTAGTAGTAGTAGTAGTAGTAGTAGTAGTAGTAGTAGTAGTAGTAGTAGTACTAGGTAGTGGTACTACTAGTAGTAGTAGTAGTAGTAGTAGTAGTAGTAGTAGTAGTAGTAGTGGTAGTAGCAGTAGTAGTAGTAGTAGTAATAGTAGTAGTAGTATTAGTTTAGTAGTAGTAGTAGTAGTAGTAGTAGTAGAGTAGTGTAGTAGTAGTAGTAGTAGTAGGAGTAGTAGTAGTAGTAGTAGTAGTAGTAGTAGTAGTAGTTAGTAGTAGTAGTCTAGTAGTAGCTAGTAGTAGTAGTCAGTAGTAGTAGTAGTAGTAGTAGTAGTAGTAAGTGGTAGTAGTAGTAGTAGTATAGTAGTAGTAATAGTAGTAGTAGCAGTAGTAGTTAGTAGTAGTAGTAGTAGTTAGTAGTAGTAGTAGTAGTAGTAGTAGTAGTAGTAGTAGTAGTAGTAGTAGTAGTAGTAGTAGTAGTAGTAGTAGAAGTAGTAGTAGTAGTAGTAGCTAGTGGTAGTAGTAGTAGTAGTACAGTAGTAGTGAGTAGTACACGAGTACGAGTACGTAGTACGTAGTAGTAGGTAGTAGTGTAGTAGTAGTAGTAGTAGTCGTAGTAGTTAGTGGTAGTAGTAGTAGTAGTAAGTAGTAGTAGTAGTAGTAGTAGTTAGTAGTAGTAGTAGTCGTAGTAGTAGTAGAGTAGTAGTAGTGTAGTAGTAGTAGTAGTAGTAGTAGTAGTAGTAGTAGTAGTAGTAGTAGTAGTAATAGTAGTAGTAGTAGTAGTAGTAGTAGTAGTAGTAGTAGTAGTAGTAGTAGTAGTAGTAGTAGTAGTTAGTAGTAGTAGTAGTAGTAGTCGTAGTAGTAGTAGTAGTAGTAGTAGTAGTAGTAGTAGTAGTAGTAGTAGTAGTAGTAGTAGTAGTAGTAGTAGTAGTAGTAGTAGTAGTAGTAGTAGTAGTAGTAGTAGTAGTAGTAGTAGTAGTAGTAGTAGTAGTAGTAGTAGTAGTAGTAGTAGTGGTACTTGTGGCCCAAGCTGGCGAACAGTGTTTGTAATGTGTTTCATGTTCCAAGCTTTTGCCCGCCAGGGACTCAGGGAGAGCTGAACTTTCAGACTGCATGATGCAACAACGCGTTCTCCACCCTGGACAGCTGGGGCCGAAGCCAGAGCTTCACTTTCAGTTTTGTGAAGTTCCAACCCTCGCACGCTCTCCACCCGGGATCACCAGGGGCCCAGCAAGAGCTGCATTTTGATACTGAAAGATGTGACCCTCGCGCGCT